GACATGAACGCATAATGCCAGTACTAACAATTTTCTAACAGCTACCAATCAGATTCAAAGCTGCCTGTAAAGTTGGATGTGATTGATAATATAGGAAGCAAAAATATGAGAATGTTACCCCAAAAAGGAAGTACAATTCTACTGCCTGCCTACTGACCTTATATACATGTGTTCTGCAGTAGGTTACACAGGTGTAGTTGTGAAATCTTAACTCTTACAAAACTAAATACATATTATAATACATACACTATTGCTGTTTTACATGGCAAAGGATTTGTAATTCCCTACACATTTTCTTCATTGCCCCACCAAACAGGTGACACATAGCTCCTGATCAAGCAATTCATCCTTCCGTTTAATTCAATTTCTGTTTAGTACACTTCCCATATACAGTATGCATTTCAGATGCATAGTGAGCTGCTTTCCTAGAGTCCATCTGATATTAAACCCTCAATTTTTAAAGGCTAAGTTTACTATTTAGACCATGTTTCATTTTACATCCATATTCAGGGTGACATGTGAATGGGTGACACAGCTGTGTCACCCATTCACAGATCCTGTCAAAGCCACCAAGGTAGAGGGACTAGTTCTCAATGTGTTGTCACCGCACTTGTAGTCCATGCATTCTTCCTCCCATCCCTGTTTCTTAATTTACATACCTCGATATGGACAGGGACAGGAGAGAGAATATGCAGGAGCCAGAGCATTGCATCCGTGGTCCATTGAAATAGTAAATGCACATTTTTTCTTTAATGAAGCAGGCATTTATGTGGACTTTACCTTTAAACTTCTTGTAGCTTCACCTTTTAAATCTTGCCTTTGTTCCTGTTTATGCTGCTTTCATGATCACTGCATAACCTTCCTGTGTTAGGGCCGGTTCACACCATAAAGAGTGCGTTCCCGAGTGTTCGGCCTTTAGAATGCACTGCAACGCAAACCGGCCGTCTCTCTGTGTTCAGGGATGAGGCGGTGCATTGAAGTCACTGGCACCACAGTCACACACCCCGCCTGCAGTGCAATCGCCAGCACCCAAACACGTGGCACATTATAGCCTGCTTTCCGGCCCAGTGCAATCTGCAAAAATAGTGCATGCAGCATTTTTGCAGATTGGACTGGACCGCAACACAGGCATTAATGTGCCACGCGTTCAGGTGTGGGCGATCGCACTACAACTGGGGGGCATGGCCAATGTGGTGCATTGACTTCAATGCACTGCCAAGTTCCCTCCCAGCCCTGAACGCAGGGAGCCAGCCGGGTTGCGTTCCAGAGGCTGAACGCACTCTTTATGGTGTGAACCGTTCCTTAGAGTGGTTCCTTTCCCTTGCAGGGTCCTATGGAGCCACTCTTGTACACACCCTTATGGACGGGATTTGAGCATTCTCTCCATATGCTGTGTGCATCAATACAAACATACAGCAAGATACTCCCCTCATCCTCTCTCCTCCACACTAACAGAAGATTGAGAACACTGCCTTTTGACTTCTAATGCACTCCCAACCAGAAGTCTGGGAAAGCAGCGCTGGGAGAACAGGAGCCAGCGGGAATAAAGGTTCTAAACTGCAATTTCTTGGCCAAAAATGTTAAGAAATAGTTTACTGAGTAATGTTTATAGTGTTGAGCCAAATGTGTTTAGCTAAAAAACGCTGAGAGTTTAATACTTTAAACAATATGCATTCAATTGTATGCAGCATGCATATTTTGAGTGGCTGCGTCAGATATACAGAAAATATAGTTATATTATACAATATCATAGAATATAGGGAAAAATGTATGTACCGTATATATATCTATTAGACTATAGAGAACAGTAATATAGTTACGTCACATGTTAATGAAAAAGCAAAATGTTATTTGTAGGAGCATTGTATCTTCTCTGATCCATTACTACACAGAATAGTAAAAGATCAAAGTAATGCACGTGCATGACTGCGTTTATCAGGCGAGCATCGCTGTGCACAGGGAAGGGTATTGTAACTAAAGCACAGAAAATAGAACATATTAGGTCAGGACTTTGATAAGAAAACATTATTCTCTGGTTATTTCAGGTTGTGATAAATGTTCATAAGATTTAGCAAAAGGAAAAAATAGATTACCGAATGGGAGATAGTAAATTACTATCTTGTAGAGGTCACAAAGGTCTAATTGAGCTGTAAACAAACATGTCTCATAGAAATCTATGATGAATACTCTGCGTGATGCCTCATTTTTTACTATAGAATATGACTATTTAAAGTGGAAGTGAGCCAGCTAGGGGCCCCAGGAGCACATAATGTAATATGTGGGGATGCACAATATACTGGCATCCATGACTTTGGATTTTTCCGAATATAACAGGACCATGCTCTGCATCTCTGCCCCTGCCATTAGGTGTCAAGTGATGGTGCAAGTTCCCTGTATGCGCATTGGAGGTGCATTATCCCGACACTCAGCTGAACTCTTCCCCATCTTAAAGATCGTGAGAAGGTGCACTGTACTATGCTTGCACCACGGCAGTGTACATTAATAAACATTGCGGGCAAACAAAGAGGAGTTTTTTGCCACAAGAGACTTACTGGGGTTGATTTGCTAAAGCCAAATATGCTGTTATACACTTTGCAAAGGAATTTGTACTTTGCACCTCATTCACTAAGCTAAGGGAAACTTCCCCTGCAAAGTGCAAGTTCCCCAGCAAAGTGAACAGCCTGTTTGCCTTTAGCAAATCAACCCCACTAGGTCTGTTCTTCCAAAAACTCCTCCTGCTAGCATTTTGTTTTTGTGTGTTCAGTTCACATTTTGTCCAAGCTGGAGTTCTTGTAAATAATTATTTGCGTCATAACATTCAGGCAAATGTTTAAGTAGAAATAGGGCATATCAAGCAAAACAAACTTGTAAATTTAGGGATCTATTTTTACTAAAGTTTCACACAATGTTCATCAAGTATTTACACATGTTTCACATAAGATTCAAAATCCTGGGTGAACAGTGTGTGAATCTTGGGTGAAATAAAATGATTACTTGACCCCTTAGTGTTTACCGATAAGTTGTACGATTCCATTCATGGCTAAAACAGTTATTTAGAAATTCTAGGAGTCAGTATATGTTTCATGTGTACTGAACCATTACAGCTCAATACAATCTTCTGCTCTCTGGGGAGTGCTTGATGAACATCAAGGCTGTGCACTGAATTTTTCCTTAGTTTCTACTTATTTCTGAGCTTCTGTAGTTCATGCATAGTTGGACCTAACGATACCCCTAATTGCTTAGCTTACATGATCCTTTATCTCAGTTAGACCACCTCTGAGCTACCAAAGGGATAACATTGACAGGTCTGGCATAATATCAACCTTGTCTAAAAAGCAGGTATACTGGATCACGTTGCCTGACCTGTACTGTCAAACTGTATATACTGTAGACTTTCACATTGAATTTTCTGTTTGTTCCCCTAATTCTCTCAGCAACCTCTCAAAACCTGATTGTAGCCAGCATGAAACTTATTTTTAAAACATAAAATGGTATTGCTGATTGGGTTACCCGAAGGAAGCAGCTCTATGTTTGTTTTCTGTTTCTGAGACCATCTAATTAGTTGCTGTGGGCATCTGTGCTGCTCTTATCTGAAATGGTTTTGATCCATTTTGTATTTTGCATTATCTGAAATAGTTTGATATATATTATTTGAGCATCTCCTGCTGCCTAGATGTTCTTTTCTGAACTCTTCTACCATCTGTATGCTCTACTTGTGCAGAGTAGGTGTCAGAAGATTTTCCATTAGGAAATCTATCACTCCCTCTTCAGAGTAGGTAGGCAATGTAAGTGATCACTACAGGAGCTCCAGTGCAGAGCTTAACAGCACAACATACTTAAAGTGCAACTAAAACATTATGAATCCCCCCACTGCTACTTCTTTTTTCATTAAATGAACAAGAAACAAAATGAAGTGAACCTCAGACCAAAAGGCAGCTCCTTACTTCAAAACAGCCATTGCCTTACAGCATCTTTCAAAAAAATCTGTGTGCTCTAAACTGTATGTAAGCTCTATCAATGAACTTTGCTTATTTCTGCCCTTATGGCCTAATCGATAAGTACATCCAGAACTGCTGGGATATAGCAAAGATACAGCCTAATATTATAGCATACTTTATTCCAAACTGTTTACAGCTGTTTCCGGCCTGATGGCCTTTATCTCTATAGTGTATGGAAACCATGGCTTCTATGAAGTAGGGCTTGGAAACCAATGAGACAGTAGAGGGTGAGGTTAGGTAGGACAAAAACATTCTTGTTGATCCCCAAGCCCTTCTCCAGAGATGCTATTGACTGCGCTGATGATGGCTAACAAGCCTGAAACCGCTGTATGCAGTTTGTAATAAATGGCTCTATCATTTTAGGCTAGTTCCATGGTATATATTAGCAGTTCTAGATGTGCAGTTAGTCAAGAGGCATAAGGGAAAACTTGGCATGGCCCCAATCATGAAAATGAAGAAAACCCTTATTTTGGGATTTGTGATGGAATGAGACATGTGAACATCTTTTGCTATAATAGGGATCTGCTATGCTAATGCAGACACATAAATAGTTTCCCTAACATTCTGAGATCCTGTCTACCCTTGTCCATATTGTTACTGTGAGCAAATGTAATGGACAAAAAACAGGTATTTAGGTAAGCCAAGTACCATGTAAAGCAGCTAGAAATATGGAAGAGGGAGGATGTCATACCAGGAGCAAAAATTACTTAACTCAGAACATTCATTTATCCAAAATACATTTGCATTCTTTTATGTAGGTTTATGTGCACTTAAAACTGAAACATCTTTGCTCAGCATAGTTTTCATAATAAAGTAGTGCATTTGTGCTGTTTTATTTTGTTTGTTTGCTTTAAATTTTATTTTCCCCAAAGCAGTAAGACATAAATGTTGTTGTTCACGATGCTAGAGGCTTTTCTGAAATGTGTGAAATGGAAAAATACATAAGAACAATTTGAACAAGTTCAGGATTAAAAAAAGGATTGTTTGTTTTTTGTTGTGCAGGCTGCAGCAGAGTACGTGAAGACCCATCTGCCTGAGGTTCTAAAACAGCATCTTCAAGATTTTGAAAGGGATAAAGAGAACAGCGTCCTCTCCTACCAGACAATTCTGGAACAACAGATTCTGGCGATAGACCGAGAGTTGCTTGAGAAACTTTCAGGGACCTACGACGAAGCAGGTATGTCCTTGGATGTCTGCACCTATTAGCTTCTATTGGTCAAAGCCACCATACCTTGCACAGGTTGTACTGTATGACAGTGATGTATCCCAAAGTTTATTACATCAATGCACTATAAAGTGTTGCATCTGATGAAGTGATATATTGTCATATGATGTAAACTCCAAAAATGGTTTATCGCCTTTAAGCATATGGTGATGCACATATGGAAAGGTTTTATTGTTCTGGAGAGAATAAAAAGCTCATGTAATTGGTGCAATGCACCTACATTTTTTTTATACATTATCCAGATCAACATATGTGCTTACATGGACATGTATACGAAAATACTGTATTTTGTTTTTTTCCAATAACGTGTGTTAGCTGCTGGTTGCTGTTTTTGAGAAATTTACAACTGAATAGTCATCTATGATTTCCTATAGAACGGGAAGTAGAAAAAGTTTGCTTTAAGAATTAGCAAATAGCCTGAGGATAGGCGTGTATCACTGCTGGATGCATACTAGAACATTGTTATTAGTTGGATGCAGCAAATGCATAGCAAAATGTGATAATTATGATAAGAGCGAGATGTAAACAATTGTCTTGCACTGAATTAATAACACATCTTAGGACTGCATTAATGCTTGTTCACACGATGTCCAGATCATGTCCAGAACAGAACAGTTTGTTCCTGGACCAAAAAGCATCCCAATTCTCCCTATGGTATTTCTGGGCTCTGTTCACACCAGTGCAGTCAGTTCTGCTCAAGACCAAAAAAATACTGCTTGTCTCATTTTCTCTGGTTATAAATGCACTGGAACGCATGGAAACATATCATGCATACAAACACATGCAAACGCACCTGAAAGGCAATTTTAAGCTAAAAACGATCTGGAACACGGCAAAATGCAATCCACCGTGTATCAGATCTGGTCCTGAAAATGGTGTGAACCTGGCCTTAATGTTATTGAATCATAGATTAGTTAAAGATCATGTTTAGTTTTTTTATGTTTAGATAAACAGTGCATGTAAAGAGATCAGCTTGAGATGTACATTTTCCTATCAGTTTGTGTTACATGTTAAAGAAGTCTCACCTTGTATTATTTTTCAGTCACTTAACTCCCACAGTGTATGTTACTATATATCTCATGCTTTTGTGTACAGCAGAAACTGGGATACAGACTTTGAAAGCTCACTGCTCTACATTTATTTTTTATTTTTAGTATTTATATAGTTTAGACAATTTACTCGGCACTTGCATGCACATTCACATCAGTCCCAGTCCTCAAGGAGCTTACAATCTCAAGGTCCCCATCTCACAAGCATACATACAGGGCCAATTTAGACAGGCGCCAATTAACTTACCAGCATGTCTTTGGGGTGTGGAAGAGAACTAGAGTAAAAAAATTTGCATTCTTAGTAAAATATTAAGTTAGCATACAAACCACAATTGTGTTGCAAAAAATGTTTGCTATATTGTACAAATGTAATAAAGGTTCACAAAGTATAGTTGTCATTATTTACAAATACAAAGACATCATGTGCAAAATGGAAACAAATCAGACACAGTTTCCAGATATAAAGTAGTATCATTTTGCATACCAAAGTATAATGGCCACATAGTGTAGAGCCAGGCAGAAAATGACAATAAATGAGGTCCCAAGAATATCCAACGTTTTGGGGTGCCCAGACCCCTTTCTCAAGGAGGACTAATTTGCATCTTTGGGGTCACATGAAAATGAATATGCACTATAACATCTATTTAAAGTATATGTACAGTGTACCATTCACTTTCCACCAGGAAAGACCCATGTGGTAGAGCCATACTTAGGGGTCTATTCACGAAGCTGCCGAAGGGTCTAGCTGTAGCTTCGGCCAATCCTTTGCCCCGGGAGTCTCCTGCTCCCGGCCGCCCAGGAGAGAAACACTCCTGTGTCTTTTTTTTTCCTTTATTCTGACACGACCAATGTCAGAATAAAAAAAAAAAAAATTCCCATTGAAATGCATTGCTACATTACTATTGGCTATTGCAAATTGAAATAGATAATAGTAATGTAGCAATGTATTTCAATTGGACATTTTTATTTATTTTTTTCTATTCTGACATCGCTCCGTGTCAGAATAAAGAAAAAGAAAGACACAGCAGTGCTTTTCTCCTGGGCGGCCGGGAGCGGGAGGCTCCCAGAGCGGCTGGGAGAGTTGTTTTTTTTTCTTTCTTTTTTTTTGACGGCAGCAGAGCCGCCGGACAATAGGAAACTATTGGGCAGAGCTAGCTGTCACTGCTAGCTCCGCACAATCGTTTTCTATTTACTTTTTTTTTACTTTTTTTACTCTATTTCTGTTCTTTTGGCCATAGGAATGCATTGCTAGATTCCTATTGGCTCTTTCAATTTGCAATAACAAACTAGCATTGCACCCGCCCTCTGCTGCAGTTCTCCATCAGGTCCACCACTACTGACAGCAGCAGAGGGCGGGTACAATAGCTAGTTTGCTATTGGCTATTGCAAATTGAAATAGCCAATAGGAATCTAGCAATGCATTCCTATGTGAACATGCTGAGCATGTTCGGCCGACCCGAAGCCATGTGAAGCAAGCTGATGTACGGCTGATTTCAGCCGATGTACGGCTGAAATCAGCCGTACCAGCCTGAAGTGAATAGCCGAACAGTGTTCGGCTCACTTCACTTGGGGTCGGTTGTTCACTCGGCTGCCCTCTGCAGCTTAGTGAATAGACGCCTTAGTAACTTACCAGCTCCTGCTAGGTCCACTAGTGATAAAATACACAGGTGATACAATTAAGGCCGCATATGGAATTTCTGAGTGCAAAACATAAGAATTCCCATCCAGAAATCCCTTTACTCCATCAGTAATGTCAGAAACACGTGCCAAAAAGTAAGTCTGGTCTGTCTGTTTATTATTTATATAGCTGTTGTGTTACACCATTGAAGGGGTTTACAGAAGTGTTTGGAAGTATCTTCAGAAAAAAAAATGTTTCATTATAGCAAGATAAAGGTTGGAGAGGATTCACAACTCTCAGGGGAGTTGTATCTCCAAACTATAGTTAACAAAAAACAGAAAATAATTCCAACTGGAATGGCACAGAGAATACAATTTCCTTTTTCCATTCTCAGAAAGTTGCTTCTCATTAGCCGGAGAATTGTGTGTAACTCTTTGGCAGTCAGTGAAATTGGAGTGAGGATTTCTCTGGTGAAGTTCTATTCCACGGGGGCATTAGGACATATCAAAAGTCCATGTCTCTCTCAGAAGTTTCTTACATATAAGAATATTGCATATTTAATGTTGGGCGGCAGATACCAAGACACCGCTCTGAGAATAACTTTGTCCTCCATGGCCTTTTTATCTGAGACTCAGCAAATATGCACAATCAGAACAGACAGATGAGATTAATACAAATCAAGAAGAACAAAACATCATAAAAAAAATAGCACAGTAATGTATGCACTGAAGGATGAGCGTTTATGCTAGATGAATGGAGCAGCATTACTGTGATGTCTGCTTTTAGTTTTCTTTAGAGATCCCAAGCTGACTGCTCTTTATACCGAGCAATATAAAATTCTCCTGGCTCTTATATATCGTCTTTAGTGTTCAGGTGACAATTTTAGGAGCACATTGAAGAGTAGCATAGACTAGCAAAACAAAGCTAAATGGGCCACTATATGTATCAAACTTCTAAACCTCTTTCTGAACCGGGCTCATTTCCCTCCTTTGAGACCAAGCCATGTTTTTCATTTTTGCTTTAGCCCAGGAAAAGTTAGAATATATGTTTTAGTAAAGTTTGAAAATGTAAACATTTTCAAATGAAAAAGTTGTAAACCTATAAAATGCTTTACATAGATTCCATGAGATAGGATCTGGGTCGCTTAAGTTGGTTATAAGGAGAACTCCAGGCTGAGCAATAATGTGGGAGTTTGTGGACTTTAAGAAATTTCAGGTCTCTATCACATGGTTTCCCTTTGGACAAGCTTCCTTCACCAGGTCCTCCAACAGTGCTGGAACTGCTGTATTACTGTACAACGTGTGTTAAAATATTTTCTAAAGTCCTTTGGGAAATCTTCTCCCCAGCAGACAGCATCTGCTGAAGGATCTGGATGGGAAACTTCTTGGTTAGGGAGCTTCAGAAATACCTGGACAGGGCCATGGAGATTAGATTAACTATTTTCCCCCCACCCCCGGCACATCTCCAGGACCACATTTGTGTATTAGGGGCTTTAGCCTAATATAGCTGGGGTATGGTTATTTTGGATCGAGACAAAAAATGTCCGAGAAATGTACCTGTAATTATAGAGAATGAAGCACTAAGGGGTCTATTCACGAAGCTGCTGAAGGATCTGGCCGTAGCTTCCGAAGCCACACGAAGCAAGCCGATGTACGGCTGATTTCAGCCAATGTACGGCTGAAATTAGCCGTACCAGCCTGAAGTGAATAGCCGAACAGTGTTCGGCTCACTTCACTTCAGATCGGTCATTCACTCGGCTGCCCTCAGCAGCTTCGTGAATAGACCCCTAAGTCACAAAGAGGCAATAAGTGCATCCTTTGGAAGTTCAAGCACCACTGTATTATTTGTCAATGTAAGGAAAAGGTAGATCTTCTGTTAAGATATCTAATCAAAGCAAAGTCAGCGGTGAGAATACAGTACTAATAAATCAATTTAAAGGTTTTAATACATTTTGGGATGCTTGCAAAATAATTATTAAATTCGCAATATACCAGAAAAACAGCAATGACTGAATCAAGTGTTATTCAAGAATGTGTCCTCAGTTGAAAAGAATGTGACAGTCCTGTGTGTGCAAATCACTTTGTTAATTAATTAATTTATTAATCAATGTATTTATTTTGTTACTATATATAATTTATAGTACGAGAGCTATAAATGGTGTCAGTCGATTTCCCATCTGTATATGGTTACTAAGCCAAATAATTTACTGCATCAGAGTGTAAGCTGGTTTACACTAACTTATTGATCGCTTCCTGACATTGGCACAGGGGCAGAATGCGATTGGG